AAATATAATGTGTAACACGAGTGAAAAAGGCCTTTGCTGCACTCGAGATCATTCCGCACTCGCCTGCGGCTCGTGCGTAAACATTGCTCTCGTGTGCAGCAAAGTGCCACTTTCACCACTAGTTACACAAATAACTATTTCCTATGATTTAACTATTACAAACACTTTGTTGTCTAGTATTGCTAGGAAACTCTTAATTATGAGCCAGACTTAGTTAACAGATTGAAACAAAATATAAATTCTAGCTTTGCTCTGGAAGTTTTAAGTCCTGCAGTCTGTGGTTAACCTTAAAAACTATTTCAAACTACGTTCATATGTTATTTGTAAACAAAAGGAAATGAATTTGATCTAATGTCAACAGATAGCGCCACATTCCAAACTTTAGCCCTTAAATGTACTTAGGTGGTGCCCTTTCTTAATATTCTGAGACGTATTTGCACATCTACGTGAAGATGTCTTTGATTTGACACCTTAAACTTTAAAATCCATCAAGCCATTAGTTATCAAGCATTAGCTATTAAGTTATGACTCTGAAAAGAAAACTGCTTGCGTATTAATATATAGATTTGCCTGTAGATGTGCAGAATACCTTTATAAATTAAACTAGATTCAAAAATAAGCACAAAAAATAAACGATAACCAATTCTAGAAACATGCTTGCCTCTTAATGTATGGATTCATGTTTTAAGTAAATAAGGGAAAGCTGATTTTCGGCCCTAGGGCTGCAAAAACCTGCTCGGCCGATGACGATGACAGCTGGCATGGACAGCAATACGTAGCTTTCGGCCTCCGATAACCGCAAAACAACTAAAAACATCGCGGTGTGGTGACAAATTATACTGACGGTAATCAGATGTTAAAATAAAATTCACATTGAAACAGTTAGTTAATGTAGTTATAAAAAGTTGGTCAGCGCCACTGAATCTTTGAAATTGAAATATATTAAAGGCTAGAAGGACGTAAGCTCTAAAGGAAATTACCCTTTTAGTTACCATTTGTCCCTCCGCTAGTTCATAAGCTTTACAATTATACATCAGTCTAAACGGATGTAAAGGATATGTTACAGATTATCTGTTAAATAATTTATAAATAAAAAACTTTATTAAAACAAAAGGTTTTTAAACGCATTAAAAAGTAGAAAATAATTTATGAATATGTGGAGAGTATAAATACAGTACTTGTAAGATTTAAAACGAAAAACGTGGGGTGCATGCAATTGATTATAATACATTAATTTTATTTATACATTTCAAACAATTCAACATATGACTATGATTTTCAATCAAATGTAAATGTTTAAAAAATAAAATGAAAGCTCAATAGAGCAATGGGGGAATTGCGGCACCATCTTCAAATTGAATACTACGAATTTTTCGTCTAGTTCCCCGTAGCCTAAGCGAAACCGCTCGAATGATGGAAAGCTGGCTTTGGATCCTCAACCATCCGATAATTTGGGAGTATGGTTTTCTCCATTTTAAAGCCAGGGCTTCGCTTGTTCTCCTCTGAAACGCTTCATATTCTTTGTGGGGGACTCCTTCCGTGGAACATATTAATGGTGTGAAGCTTCCTCTGATGTCTTCGGCTGCTTTGTCATATTTATTGTGTTTCTGAACAGCATGGTTTCGAGATATTGTTCCCCATTCTTGGTTGGCGTAAGAGGGAGCGTCAGCATTAACAATGCGATTATCTTGGGAGCATAGCCTGTACCTCTTAACCTCTGCTCTTCGAACTGTCAAATTTAAGTATTTACAGCTGACTTAAATTAACTGATGTATTTACATTCTTTCAAAATGTAAACATGGAAAATTTGGAAGCCCATGGGGCGTAGCCCAAGGGAAATGTGAAAATTAAATTACAGTATATAATATTACATTGTCATCCATTTGTGAGCTATGTTCCAAATTTCAAATCTCTAGCTCATCGGGAACTTCGTTTAAAATTGATATCAAAATTTGTAGGCAAGCGAGCTAATGAAAACAAGCCCATGGGACGTAGCCCAAGGGAAATATGAAAATTAAATTATATAATATTGCATTGTCTTCCAATTGTGAGCAATATTTCAAGTTTTAAGTCTCTAGATCATCGGGAAGTTAGTATAAAATAAATTGCAAAATTTGTACCGGACAAGAAAGCGAGCTAATAAAAACGTTTTAAAAAGAGCAAAATTTGTGAAACAAAATCGTATTTTTCACTAGCAGATAACGCAAAAACTATAAAAGATATTATTTCAAGATATCTGTTAATGAGCTTTCATTTAAAATAGAGCAGTCATTAGGTTAGAACGCATGGTTTCAGAGATTTTAGCGAAAAAGGTAAGCCTCTACAGCATAAGAGCTACGGGCGGGGCATTTAATATGTTTAGAGTTAACCTAGTCGTTTTCTAGAAATTAACCCAAAACTCCAATTCCCCATATAAAACCCATGTTAAACGCACAGTATCATGGGAATAGTGTATCTGCATCCACTAATCTTCAGTACTGCACGTTTAACATGGGTTTTATATGGGCAATTGGAGTTTTTGGTTAATTTCTAGAAAACGACCAAAGATAGGCGGTAGGTTTAAATTTAAAAGTTGTTTGTTTTTACAAGACCTTAAAAATGATACACAATTTTACATATGTTGCCATTTTAAAATTTTCATTTACAAGGCTACCAACTTAAAAAAAAATTAAAATCATAGAAAAAATTTTTAGTTTTTAAAATGTTGACTTGTCGTATATCAAATTAAAGCTGAACCTACGAGGATTAAGAATTTTCAAACAGAACGAAAATAAGTTTACTGGTTGTCAAGATACAGGGTATTCTGTAAGTATCAATATTTTCTATAAAAATGGCCGCCATTTTGAAACGGACAAAGATAAATGAGTTCTGTTTTCACTAAATTGTTTGTCTAGTTTAGAGCTTTAAAATGATGCATAACATGACATATGTTTACATTTGAAAACTCTGAGATTCGAACCCATGACCCCCAGTTTCTTGAACACCCTGTATTTTAAAAATGGTAAAAATATTTTTACGTTGTTCCTTGGGTATGAATTAGAGGGAAAAGTTTTGTTTCATCTCTGTATGTCAAGCCGTTCGTCTGTAATCTGTTTAGGACAGCTTAGAAGATTCACCCTGTATACAGGGTGTCTCACGAGAGGTGTCTCAAATTGATTACGGAAAAATGGCTTAACGTACAAGGATGAAATAAAATTATTTCCCACTAAATCGACCCCAAGGAATAACGTAAAAATATTTTTAACTTTTTCCCAATACAGGGTGTGCCAAAAACTGAGGGTCACTAGTTCGAATCTCGGAATTTTCAAATGTAAACATATGTCATGTTATACATCATTTTAAAGGTATTTAATAGACAAAAATTTGAGCGAAAACAGAAATTAGTTATCTTTTTCCGTTTCAAAATGGCGGCAGTTTTTTTGGAAAAAATCTATATTTTTTTAATACTCTGTGTTTCCTAGACCAATGCATTTATCCCTTCTCCGGTTAAATTTTCTTACTCGTTATGAAATTAGCTTTACTTTGATATGCTACAAGTAACGGTTTTTTGAAATTATAAAAATTAAAAAAAAAATTATTTTTGAAAATTTGCAAATGCTCATTTTTCAAAAATTTCAAATAGCAACATATGTCAAGTGGCACATCATTTTATAGGTTTTTTAATTCCTAAACACTTTGTAATTTACACTTACTTCGTATCTCTTTTAGTTTTTGCGTAAATAACAAAAAAAACTAATTTTCCTATATCAAATGCATGTTATTTGGGTTTGACGTGGTTTAACACTTCATCAAATTGGGCCTTTAAATTTGACACACTTGTGTATTTTAACGTGTTACACAAACATGCAAAATTTCATTTCGTTGACTATAGCCGTTTCAAAATGGCGGCCATCTAAAAACTTTGACCTCAAATTACATGAACACCACTAAAGTTACAAAAAAAACACAAGAATAACAAAATTTAGGAAATTTTATGCCAAATCAAATGACACCTAGATCTTAAAGATCGGACAAAAAACAGCTGAGTTATAAACTTTTTAAATAATTAATAATTTCTTTACTGGCTTTTAATTGTTATTGTTTATTCTTTAAAATCATCTGATACAGAGTACATTACGTAACCTTAAACAGATCTCAATAGTTAAGGTAAAAATAGGACACTTAATACATTTACCATCTAGTAAAAAAACTAAATGTTGTTGTTAGGGCAAACCAGCTGTCTTACATTGTTGTGACAATTTAGAAAGGATCAGATGATTTTAAAGAATAAACAATAACAATTAAAAGCCAGTAAAGAAATTATTAATTATTTAAAAAGTTTATAACTCAGCTGTTTGTTGTCCGATCTTTAAGATCTAGGTGTCATTTGATTTGGCATAAAATTTCCTAAATTTTGTTATTCTTGTGGTTTTTTTTTTAACTCTAGTGGTTTTCATGTAATTTGAGATCAAAGATTTTAGATGGCCGCCATTTTGAAACGGCTATAGTCAACGAAATGAAATTTTGCATGTTTGTGTAACACGTTAAAATACACAAGTGTGTCAAATTTAAAGTTTGTACCTAGATTCAAACTCGAGTTATAAAGTTATTTATAAAAAACACATACAGACAGACAGACAGACAGAAATCGAGGCTCCGGCGACCCATGTTTATAATGTAAAATATTCATGTATTAACCCAAGGAATAATCCTGTGAATTTTTTCGAGAGAGTTCACAAACACCCTGTATATGTATTTCACCCAATTTATCGCAGTTAGACGAATTAACGTAAGCCTTGAAAGTAACCGTCGATTTCGACGGGTTTCACGTAGTCTTATCATATTAGTGTTATAGCCACCACCTACTAACTCGACATCAAGTTACATCGGACTTTTATCCTTTTAGAGATAACACATTTTTACTTTTGTAACCTGTAGTATTTTCTCAGTCTTCTCATTAGGCCTAGTCTAGTTACTGTGTTATTTCTCAACTTATTGTACAATTTCTTATTGCTTTACAGGAAAGTGATATTGGTACTTACAGGACATTGAGTGGATCTTCATCAGCCACTAGAACTGAGAGTGGAGGAAAGTTCCAGAATCTCTTGATGGAAAAGCTAGAAAGCCTTATCAGAACTTCGTTCAATAACTGCCAGCCCGATGGTGTCAGAACCGACACAGAATTTCAAAACTAATGACCTGTTATAAATAACAAAGTGAAGTTATTAAACTTCGTGAATGATTTATTTAGAGCTTATTTACACCTCTACTCATAACAACTTTTTATTATCATTACTGATTGCCTGATTTTTTGTTGAAACAAATTTAAACCATCAAAAGAAAATTTCAACATTCGTTTGGATGCTCGTGTTTTAAGTTTTGTAATGTTTTAACAACTAAAATCTGAATTTCATTCAAACTATTTTTATTTTTATTTTATTTATTTTCATAATATTTCTCAGGGATGGGTTCTTTGTCACGTGACTGATTTTATCCTAACGGTGTAATGTGTGAGATATAATGTTAAGTTAAGTAGAGCCACTATGTGTAAGTGTTATTTTGTCGCAGCACTCAAAAAGGTGCCAGACAACTACCAAATGTGCGTGAGTGTTTTGTGTTAAACCACAGCACCAGCGGTCTGCCGGGGCCTGACAAATGCTTTGTGTGTAGGCTATTATAATATTTATAATTTCTATCCTACTTACTTATCTAATTACCTTATTAATATTTCAAATGAGTACTTAATTGGGACTGACCTTTTTCCTTTTATTTTCCTTTCACAAATACAAATTGAATTACAATTAATTATTGTTTTTTGCGCCCGATAAATGGTATAAACCCACAGCGGCTATCTGAGTGACTAACTGACTGTCATCTGAAGACTGGTCCGTAGACTGCTTTATTTATACCCGATTTGGTTGCTATGGAGACCATGGAATGTTAATGTTCTAGAGCTTCGAACCCAGATGTTTCCACCAATATTAACTTCCTTTTCCTTAGCCTGACGTCATAGCTGCCCGCTTGATCGTCGTTGATGCATCAGCTGCAGTCTGCTGGAGCTCGAGCTGTCAGAGATGCTATTGTAGACTAATAAACAAACATTCGAACAAATGTAATCTATATAAATAAAATTACAGTTTTGTCTGTACATTGCTTAGAACCAATGTATAGACTGGGACGGGTGGCGTCGTCCTGTAATCCAGCTACTAGGAGGTCACGAATTGTGGATAATTATAGGGATGCACTGTGGATGCGATGCTACCTGGTGTGGATTAACGTCCGCACTAGTGAGTACTACGACTATCCGCAGTACTATCCTAAATAATTAGACCAATTCGTTAATTACGAGGAAAAAATGTGGTTCGGATTCCACAATAAACTGTAGGTCCCTTAGTTGCCATTAGCTGTATGGGCTATTAATTAACAGCTGTGTCTAAGGAACATGTCGGCCTTAGTCACTAACAAGACTACAAGATCGCGCCACTCATCCTACACTCATCCTTCACTCATATTTGGGTTAAAATACGCACATAGTGGCGTCCCCATCTTAAATAATTGATAATTGATAATTGAACCATGCAGTTTTTGGTTATTTTTACGTTTTATAGCCTAAGAAAGCCGAAACGAGTCTTATCTCAATTTCTGTCTGTATATCTGTTTGTCTGTCCATTCTGTGACTTCGTCTGTAACGCCAAAATGTCATTTTACGCGGCCTACTCCTTGAAAACTAGAGTACAGATCAAGATTCCAATTATTTTTCTGTATTCACTGGATTGGCGAGAGTGTCTTTGGCTATTAAAATATGGCCTAACTACTTTTAAAAAAATATAACAAACCATCAAAAACCCAATTTTGTTCGATTTTTGTCAAATTTTCTCCCAATGTTTAGGCCTACTATTACATTTTATGAAATAACGATCAGCTGTTTGGATTAGTTCTCATTTCTAGCTGTCACTGATATGTTTACATTAAATACTGTTTACAAATACCGCAACCATTTCCGATCAAGTTTTGTTAGCTCATCCAAACCAAGTTAGATTAAAACCGTTGTGCCTTACTTAACCGGTTTAATTAATCGCAAGTGCAACGATTGTTCTTGAGTTTTTATAACCGGGGAAAATACTGAGAATCAGTGTTGTGAATCAGTGCTGGGAAACTTACATTTTTTTAATCATCGTCACCAATAGTTTACAAAAAAGGTTTCCACTCATTGACGGCGCTTCAAAGACAGTTGTGTAAAGTGCAAAGTAAAAAATCAACTGCAGTGGGTGATCGTGGATGTTGCTGTGATCTTGGAAGATCTTTCTAATTTCACTGTGATCGTAACATATGTTTAACTTACAGATGTAACTAAAATCGCAACTCGCTTTTTCCAATGTGTCACTTTCGGTTTCTACTTACTTACATTTCGACAACGACATCGGTACTTTTTCTACTTAGGAAGTAAAACTACAAACGTTTAAAACCCCAGATTTGTGCGTTTTTTGTCACATTTCCTCCGAATGTTTGCTAGATATGTGTACCGATTATAGTTTAGAGATTACGTAATCTTTTAAAAAAGAAACCTTTGTTTGGATAAAGGTGGTTTCTTCAAACTGTCATTAATATGTTAACATTAAAAAATGCTTATAAATAAATGGGAAATAACTATAATTTTCGAAAACTTAAAAAAATTAAAACCAAGGGAGATTAATAGCTTCAGTACTGCACCAAATCAAGTGAAAGTTTTTTTGAGGAAACCATAGTGAGTTTTTAAAGCTTTACGTTGTTAACGTTACATGTTTTGTGGCCTGTGTATTTATTTATTTATATATTTTCCAACGGATTAACACCTATAATACAGTTTGATTAGAAGGACAGTTTGAATTGGTCGTAATCGTAAGTACTATAGTTCTTTTCTTAAATGTAAAAGTTGGTTTTTGGTACTGCTACTTTTCCTTAGAACTGGTGGTAGCAGCAAGAATCATTTTTACGTACAAACACATCACTATTTACAACTATTTATAGTTATCGTTAGTGCTGTACCTTATTTCTTATTAAATTTAATTGATGTCTTACTGTATAACTTTATTGCATTTTCTGTCTGGACTCCAAAATGTTACTTTATGCTATGAAAATGATAATACATTAGTTAACGATTTATTTAGCAAACCATCATGAATTTTTAAAGCTTGGCGTTGTTAACGTATAAATGTTTTGTGGGCTGTGTATTTATTTAATTACTTTTACATTTGACAACGGATTTACACCAATTTTACAGTTTGATTGGCCTAAAAAACGATTATTATAAAATTTGATGACACTATCAAAACTTTCAAATAATTGTAATTTGCTTTGGTTAAAGCGTAGTAAATCCCCTAATTCATTTCTGTATTTGTGTGTGTAAGCCTGTTGGTAACGCATTAATGTCCTTATTTCTCAGTGTTTCGTGAAAAAAGAGCACCTTTGTTAATGCAAATTTCAACCCGAATAAAGTGCGCAGTAGTGAAGTTGAGGTAGTATTTTTACTACTTTTAACCAGTGTGAAAAGTAACTTTCAATTACAGGCCTCCGTAAGGGCTATGACTCATAGATCTATAAAGCAGTTCCTTTTATCATTAGATATAAAATATGGACTAACACGATCGGTTGACACTTAATTGCGAAGCATTCGTTTTGGCTTTGAAACTGTCAGATATTGTGTTTGCGAAGGTTTATTATGTATTCCTATACAGTAATAGTTTTGCCAGCATATCTGGAAAAATGCACACTAAATATGCAAACCAACTCCTGTTCTGAATATAAGGTTTCAACTTACTACAAGATTCCAACAGCTAGTAAATAAATATGTTTTAATTATTTAGTTTGTTGTGTTATATTTACATGTTTATTCCTTTGTTTGTGAAACAAAATAGTAATGTAAATTTATATCGTGTTGCTGAAATATGTACAATGGATAACCTAACCTAGCCTAGATAGGCCTACGGGAAGTGGGTAAGCTAACCTAGATACATACGGTAAGTGGGTAGACATATTTTTAGATACCACTATTTACAAAATAAACTATTAGAAACATTATTACATCAATAATTTAATGAACATTAAGCAATATATAAATTTTGAAAGTGTGAAATAGGCCTACTTTTATTACAATTAATCTATCAAACTCTGCCTAAACCTAACCTAGCCTAGGCATAACATAGCCTATTAACAAAAAATGAATGAGTTGAATTGAAACATTACAGTTTAGTTTCACAATAATGCTCGTACTATCTTATTTGAAAGATTTGAGTTTCTCATTAGTTTAATAATCCTAACAATAGTTGGGATTTATAACGAAAGACATTACATAAATCAATATGTTATGAATATACATTATAAATATAAAAAGTAAACAATTCTAGAAAACACAGTTAGAGACGAATTAAACTTTGGTGGAACTTTATAAAATACCCCCGCAGTGGTAGAATATCAGAAAGAGATATTCTGAAAGAACTTATGTTACATTTATTGTGTGACTGTTTTATAATTTATTTTTTATATTGTTTAGGTGCAGTGTTAGAACATTATGGCTATGGTAGATATGTTATACTATATGAAACCGTAAATTTAAAGAACCTAATTTTATCAAACTGTGTCCTCTCCCATTGGAAACGCAAAGCTTGAGTATAACTGCAATAAGCATTTTTTACTTACATGCCAACCCCGTACGATGGACTGGTGCTCTGCTAGTAGGAAATAAATGTGATATTTTTAAGGAGGCATTTTAGTGTAAATCCATTCAGGCAAATGGAAACTCACTTAGTCTGCAGGTTTGCTGTGGCGGGGGTATAATTTTTGTACTCAATGTTTACTTTACTTTTTAACAGAGATCAAATCAATAGAAGTAAATGTAGTGGGGTGGGTTAGCTAAAGATTATACCAAAATATTTCACATCTGGCAACCAATGCACCCCTTTGGATTCAGATAGTACATGAGTAGGTAATAAATATCATAGAACCAACCTTTTTAGTTGCAACAGCTGACTAAATTCTTTAATTCCATTAGAATATGAGTACTCATAAGGTTAACATGAGAAAATCCAGAGCCACTGGGTGGAGCCCGAAAGGATTATTTGAGATAAGAATATGTCTATATGTTAATCGAGAATGTTAGCTATCATCATGCCAAATTTCAGCCCAATCCGTCCAGTAATTAATGCGCGATTCATTTATTTACAGACGGAAAACTCCATTTTCATATACATACAATGATGGCATGACGTTACATTCAGACTTACATAATACATGTCATACATAACATGAAGATGACCTGACTAAAAACCCTAATAAATAAG